TTCCCCGGCTGTCAGCCCCTGTTTGCTGGGTTTAAGCCAGCAGTGACAGAGCAGTAGACATGCAGTCAAGGTGATGTAAATGATGGTGCATGTTCAGACACCAGCTTTTGCCTCATGACCTTACCACTTCTTCCCCGCCATCAGCCACCAGCACCGTGAAGAGGAAGGTTTGAGACTTGCTCTCCATCTCCACACACCAATACCAGTGAGCATACCCTTGCTCTTCGAAACAGTGTCCTGTCATAGAGAGGGGGGGCAGGAGTGGGAACCTGCCTCATCTCTCTTCTCCTGAAGAAGCAGGAAGACTAACCGTGAACCCAGGCCAAGATGCCAGCTTCCTCCACAGCATTGGTACTTCCTGTCTCAGGGGAGCTCCCCTGGGCTTTTGTCCAAATGGTGGAAACCAACTCCTAACTCAAGGTGCCCTAGCAGAGCTATGGTTGTGCCGGAACTGTCACCTCCAAGTGACACATGCATGTCTTTGCTCTTACCTGGGGTTAAACCAGTCTGAGAGCTGAAGTTCTTCTTCCTGGAGGCCCCTGGTACAAAGAGCAGCAGGTTATTGAGGGCATTCGTTTGCTCAGTGCTTACCCACTGAGCCCACACAAGGCCGTCTCAGCTCCCTGGCTCTTTCCCTGTCCTCGCTGCCCAGCCTTAGCTTTCAGTGGCTTTGGGACAGGGCAGTGGTAGAGCTCTAGGGGCACAGTTTGAGGCTGAGGAAGTAGCTGGTGTCTCCTGTTCTGGAAGAGGACAAGCTGGCCTAGGGAACAGAGCAAGGGAACTGGGGTAGAGGCCATAAACAGCAGCAGAATGAAGAAAAAGGTACCTTGGTAGGAGGAGGAAAAGGTTACTAGAGAATGTCAACTCAAAAAAGAGTTATTTACATGATGTGACAAGGTCAGGAGTCCACGTATTCACCTGTGATTTCCACCCCCTTTTTTCTATGAAACAGGGTGTTAAACATGTAGTCCTGGCTGGCCTGGAACTCACTATGTAGAACAGGATGGCCTTGAGCTCACAAGAAGGCATTGCCTCTGCCTCAGAGCGCTAGGATTGAAAGTATCCACTACCCCGCCCCCATACCTTGATCCCTTTAAGTGCAGATGTTTCTTGCTTACTATGGGGTGACACCCAGAAAAGCACACTGAGTGGAGGTAGCAGCTGTTTGAAGAGCAGTTTAACCCAATGACAGTTAAAATGCTCTGCCCACCTTCAGTGACCTCAGAACAGTGAGGTGTCTACAGCTGAACAAAGGCACCCACACTCAGCCTGCCATGCTATGAAGTGAGAGAGGAGACATGGCCTTCCTGAGTCTGGACCAACAGTGGGAATGACTGTCCGAGAGCACTTTCCCACCATAGATGAAGAGTCAGGGCCATCACTCTCTGTTTTAGTTAGGGTTTCATTGCTCTGGAGAGACAACATGACCACCACAACTCTTGTAAAGGAAATTACATAATTAGGACTGACTTACAGTTCAGTGGTTCGTTATTGTCATGGTGGAAAGCATGGTGGCATGCAGGCAGACATGTTGCTGAAGAGGTAGCTGAGAGTGCTATATCCAGATCAGCAGGCAGCAGGAAGAAAGAGCCACTGAGCCTGGCTTGGGCTTTTGAAACCCCAAAGGTCACACTTCCAATAGTGCTACTCCCTATGGGCCTATGGGGCCACTTTTACTCAAACCACCACATTCTCATTAACTATTTAGTTGAATCACCTGCCTGGCAGCCTCTGGTGTACCACCTGGGGTGTTCTATGGAAGACCTGACCTCCAGAGCTCATCATTTTCTGGTGTGACCTGACATGGCCTTGCACAGATATCCCATCACCAAACCGACTGCCTCCTAAGACAGACTGACAAAATTCCATGGCCCTTCATCAGACAATTCATGACATGTGGGGAACTTGCTAAAAATCATCAAGTTGGGATTTCTGGCTCAGTGGTTAAGAGCATTTGGTCTTCTAGACCTGAGTACAGTTCCTGGAACCCATGCCAGGTAACTTGCAATTGTCTGTGACGCCAGGGCAGCCAAGACCAGAGCCACAGGCATTTGCACTTCAACGCACACATTCATATACAATCGTACACACATATACTGAGCTAAAAATAATTTTTAAAAAATTTAAAAGCTGTGTTTTAGTATGTTGATACTGTTAATTTTTAGATTTAGGGCAGAAATCGTGGCCGGCTAGAGAGTGGCCTGTCCTAAAGAACCTGTTCCCCACAGAGACACTCCAACAGTGATTGTCATGCCCTGGTCTTGGGGAGGCCCCACTAGCACTAAGTCAATGAGCCAGCAATGGCCTTGAGTTTCTGGGACTTCTTCTCAGCAGGGGTGTACCAACACAAAGCTTGCACAGCCAGTTTCTTTAGATCCAGCCAGGATCACATTCCCTATTACACACCCAACAAAAGCACGTTCAACACCTACAGACCCTGTGGGTGGGCTCTCTGACCTGGAGACCCCAGGGAATGGGAACCACACACTAAAACCTCCCCCAAATGGGTAAGCCTCTCCTCCTGACCCCCAAGTCCACTCTGGGAGGCATTGCCCCTGTTGGAAAAAGAACCTGCTGGGAGCTTTCCCTCCTATCCCAATCCTATCCCAAGAGCCAAGGAGGAAGCACTGCCATCTCAGGTTCTGACTCTTCAGAAACCTTGTACCACTCTCATGGGTGCATGTCACACATTGGTACACCCCACACACATGACTGCATGTTCACACACTTTCACACACACACTGCGTGCCTGCTGACCTCCACAAAGGGAGACCTGTTTATTTTTCTGCCCCAGCCTCTGTCATCTTCCGACCCTCTGTCCCTGACAATTTTGCCCTCCACTTTATAGAACGTTCACACAGTGAAGAGTGACATCCTGAGAGGGCATGTTTTCTGAAGAGAGGGTTTGCCAGAGAAAACACAGGACACCATAGAATGTTAGTTTGAGAAAAACAGTGGGTGGAGGCTGGCGAGATGGCTCAGCAGTTAACAGAGCTGGCTGCTCTTCCTGAGGACCTGGCCTCAATCCCAGCACCCACATGGTCTGTAACTCCGGTTCCAGGGGACCTGAGACCCTCTTTCTCACTCTTCTGGGACCAGGTACACATGTGGTATACATATATGCATGCGATGAATTCATATAAAATGAAAATAAATAAAAACTAAGCAGTGAGTATGTTAAATGTCTATGTTTTGATTGTTTTATGGGATGTACTTTCAGTGAACCTCATCTGTAGTCTATCAAAAGTGTGACTGTACAGCTTCTGTTTCTGTTCCCTAAATACACCAGCTCTCCAGTACACACACAGTAAAGGATTTACACCCAAAATACAGCAATCTGATTGCAAAGAAATCAAATGCCCATTTTTATCACAAATGCCAAACATACATGGGACTAGGGAGAGGATTTAATTTTTTTTGAGGATTTAAGTTTTTAAAGGTATAGAACTGTCTTCCTTTCCTTTTTTTTTTTTTTTTGAGACAGGGTCTTGCCTGGTGGTGGTGGCACATACCTTTAATCTCAGCACTTAGGAGGCAGAAGCAAGTGGATCTCTATGAGGCTAGCCTGGTCTACAGAGCTACTTCTAGGACAGCCAAGGCAGAGAGAGACTCATTATGTATTCCTAGCTGGAGCTTTCTATGTAGTTCAGGATAGCCTCCAACTCACAGAGATCCACCTGCCTTTGCCTCCCAAGTCCTGGTACTAAAGGCATTCACTTCTCTTCTTGGCTATGATTATTTTTCCAGTAGCACTCAGAAACATTGTGTTACATAAATAGATGCAGGAAGAGGCATAGAGGAGATAGGAGTTTAAGGTTTCTAGGGGAAAAAATGTTGGCAGGTTAACAGATATTACTCTAGCAGGTCAATTCTAGTCTTGTCCACCTTTAATCCCAGCATTTTGGAGGCAGAGACAGGTGAATTTCTGTGAGTTTGAGACAAGCCTGATCTACAAACTGAATTCCAGTACAATCAGAGCTGTTACATAAAGAAACCCTGTCTTGAAAAACCAAAAACAAATTAAAAAAGAATGAAAGAAAAGGAAAAAGACACAAATTTGGAACTTTGAGGAGGTTTATAATTGATGTAATTATAGTCCAGTTTTGGCCTGGTGGCTAAGCACTTGCCTGGCATGCTCAGGCCCTGGTTCTATCCCCAGTACAACAACAACAGTAATAACTGAGCACCCTCCTCAGCCAGACTCCATTTTCATGACATTGTCATGTAGCATATGAAATTCTGTAGCGTATGAAATGCCCCTGTAGGCAGGTCTGCTATTTTCCAGTATCTGGAATGGAGCTTGTGACAAGAAACTCAATAAATGTCCACCTGGCACCCGAAAACGAGAGAGTTAAAATGTGCACAGCTTCCCCAAGAAAGGAGGTAACTTCTGGTGATTCAGGATATCCTTCTGTATGCTACAAATATGTGCTGCACCACGTTCTATCCCCAGTACAACAACAACAGTAATAACTGAGCACCCTCCTCAGCCAGACTCCATTTTCATGACATTGTCATGTAGCATATGAAATTCTGTAGCGTATGAAATGCCCCTGTAGGCAGGTCTGCTATTTTCCAGTATCTGGAATGGAGCTTGTGACAAGAAACTCAATAAATGTCCACCTGGCACCCGAAAACGAGAGAGTTAAAATGTTCACAGCTTCCCCAAGAAAGGAGGTAACTTCTGGTGATTCAGGATATCCTTCTGTATGTTACAAATATGTGCTGTACCACAACACTCCCCTTATGCTGCCCTATAAGATCTCTATCCTGTGGCTTCTTGGAACCTTTTCCCAGCAATCCACCATGGTGGATGGATGAAAGGCCTGAGCTAACATCAGTTATGCTTTATGGCTCTGGGTGTGCTTTACAGACAAGTGCACAGCAATGACTCGAAGAGCATAGCAACCACCCTGGGAGGGCCTATGGGCCATAACAACCAGTTGGCCAATCAACACAGGGCAAGCCCTCCAAGCCTGGAGGCACACCAATCCTGAGCCTGTGTGTACCCCTAGACACTCCCCTTATGCTGACCTATAAGATCTCTATCCTGTGGCTTCTTGGCGCCTTTTCCCAGCAATCCGCCATGGTGGATGGATGAAAGGCCTGAGCTAACATCGGGTTAGCTCGTTAAACAACTGTAATAAAGCCCCATGCTGTTTGCATAAAAAAATGTGCTGCTTTTATTGGTTGATTAATAAAGCTGTGTTGTCCTATGACAGGGCAGAATATAGCTAGGTGGGAAATACAGAGATAGAAAGAAGATGGAGTCAGTGAGACAACATAGAAGTAAGATGCCTGAACATTACCAGTAAGCCCGCAGCCATGTGGTGATATGTAGGGAGATGTTGGTCCCCCAGCCCCCACGGGGTCTCCATGGGTTGCTTGTCAGCCAATAATCACAGGTGCATCCTGTTTTCTAGTCCTGGATTACAGCTCTGGCTGTACCCCACTGGCATAAAAAACACGAGCTCTTACACCTGGGTTTTTTTCCACTGTGCTGTAAGTATATATAAGGCCTCGCCCTCCCTGCAAAAAT